CAGTTATAAAAATTGCATATTGTTTTTAAAAAAGTATTATTTCATATTACACACACAACGGAGACTCCGAAAAACAGCCTTTTCTACAACAATGATGGATAGGTTGGCGGTTGTTGGTGCGAGTATCTTTTGGCCAACGAACATCTCTCCACATTTTCCCCCTTTCATCACTTTTGAGACTATGCATTTTGCTCAAAAATAAGTAAATCATGCTTCGGTTTAGAATTAATAAGGTTTTCAGATTTGACTATTATTTGTTCTGTAGCTATTTCGATGCATTTTTTTCTATGTTTTGAGAAAATTCTTTTTTACAGAGCTTAGATTAATGACCTATATTTCTCTGCCATGAGATGTTTTTAGTCTTATATTTCTTAGACTAGGATTTGTATAAAATATATGTACTAAAACTATTAAAAAGCGGTGTTATATTATGCAAATAAGACTAAATATATCTCTGTAATACATTAAAATACTATGAACACTGACTCACTATTAATTTACAATTCTACAATAAATGCAATTGTTACTGAGGACACATTCACAACAATAATAGTATGAATATTCATCATTCACTCAAAAGCATCTTTTCTTATAGGACTGCTAAGCAGGGACCGCGGAAGTGGGAGAGGGGGGAATAGCCCTTTCTAAGATTATAATTTTTCACTCAATATTTCTGTAATTAAATTTAGAATTAAAAAAAATTTTTTTTGTGTGTCTGAATTCTAAAAAAAAAATGTCTCTATTTCAAGCGAGCTTTAACATTTCCTTGGTGAAATCTGCTACCAAACCATATCCCTTAATCCTCCCCCCCGCAGACGAAATATACGTGAGAGATGTCACGTGAGAGATCAATGTCACAGCGAACAGAATAAAAAAAATATACAGTTAAATGAGCGATAAATAATTTATGGGTACACAATTCTTTTAATTAACTTAATTTTAAAACAATTCGAATCATGTAATTGAAATTGCAAGTTCGAATTCATGATTGTCCATTTTGTGAGGTTCAGATAATTTAGATCCGTATNATATGGGAGCCCCCCCCCAACTCTTGGGACACTTCCGCTGTCGCTGCTGCTAAGATATGTTTATTTTATTACAGTTAAAATAGATTCAAACTATCAGAGCTTTCTCCATAGGTCCTTTAAACAGGGAAAAAATTAGCGAGCGGCATGGTAAAGACAGTTCTGGTAGAAAAACAACAACAACATAATTCTGTTTATAAAATCAAAATATAAGGAATTTAAACCATTTTTGTGGCTTAAAATTATGTTTCTTATTACCGCATTGCTTACCACACGATATTTAGTGACCAATATAAAACTGTAAAGTAACTTTTATCGAGTAAATGATTTTTAAACCATGCTTTGAGGTATCATGATAAAGTTACCAAATTTTAATTTCACAATATATTTTTATTGCTTATTTTACCAAAACGCTTCGTTTCAAAGTTGTTGTGATTTTTGATGTCGGCATAGAGCCAGAAACACCATAAATTTTTACCATATTCTGGTAGTTTTGACCACAGTTTTTTTTCTCAGTGTAGATAATTCAACTTATCAAGTCTTCAATTGTAATACAATAAATAAATAGAGTATTGTATAGGGTTTTCTCTAATCATTACCTTTAATCTATACTTTTAGAATCCTCGTCAAAAATGAAGTTGTCTGTGAACATCACAACCTGTTTGGCACATCTATGAGACGAAAAGGGAATGCGATTATTAAAAACACTCTAAATTCAATCGAACAAATCTATGAGACGAAAAGGAAATGCGATTATTAAAAATATTCTAAATTCAATCGAACAATCATGCGAAGTTTGATCTTTTTTTTAATTTTTTCTTCTTTTTTTTTTAAAGCCACTTTCTCCACTGTGACGCGTCAGGTTTTGATAGTTTTAATTTTTTAAACGTTTAGGAGGTCTTTTCCTTTGGACCAAACTCAAATTTCGAAGGGTGGGAGATAAGGAGGGAAAATTGTAATTATGATTTTATTCTTTTTTATTTAAGTTTCAAAAATAAGCTGATGGTGGTTATTTATTACTATTCGGCAATATCTTTCGAAACATGCAAAATACAAGGCCATCGACAAATTGAAATTTGAGAAGTAAGGTATTTTAACAATTTTTTAAATTTTTTTTTCTGATAAAAATTATACTAATACCATTCTGTAATCACTATTTTTCGAAAGGATGCTTAGTTTTAATAAACATCTTTATTTTGTGTAATTTACATTTTATTTTATAACCGTCGTCGAACAGCCAACCTAACTTCGAGTTAACGGCTACCAATGTTCAAAGCTGTAGCCTTGTAATTTTGAATGCAATCCAGAAGACAAGGGAAATCCAGGATCAAGTATTAGGAGAAATTTACCTTCGTGAAGAACAGAGGACTTTCTTTGTTGCCGTAGAAGAGAAATATATGTATACATTCCAAAAAAAGACAAACAAATGTGCAGAAAATAACCAACTCAATCGCATAAATGGCATAACTTTATTGCTTGACATTTTTGAGAAAAGAATCTGCAAAAGTTCTAAAAATTATCAAGCACTATTTCTCCTTATTTATTAAAGTGAGCCATTTATTTAAATTTCTTCTGATAGTGATAGTGCTGTCGTACCATAATGGCGAATCATCAAAAGTTTGTTAAAAAATATCGAAAAAATGCTAAATAAAAATTTAACCTAAAATTCAAAATGCTGTAGATAATCTCTGGGATAATGGTGCCTCTTAATATTAGTTTGAAACATTCGAAGTATAAATTTTTAAGCTTCCTTTTTTGACAAAACTTCTAAAAATATGTCTTAAAGGTGGCGATTACTGTACTGTTCCTATGTGTATCTGTTTGATATTTAAACAAATTCGTACTTCGACTGAAAAATCATTCGAAGAATCAAGAAGTATATCCTTCTCAGTCAATTGAATCTGAATAAACTTTTAAATATAGTTTTCATTTAAAAATGTTGTAAATTTTTGTGAGAATTAAAAACATTTATTAAATTAAGCTGGCTACGAACTGTTTTTCGAATATTTAATTACAGTATAAGAAATGGAGGTAACTGCCAGTGTGAGTTATAATTAAAAAAATCATTAATTTTCGGCAAGATAAGCAATTTTTTTACTAAAAAAATAGAAAGGAGAAAGTTAGATGAAATTGGAAAAAAAGGAAAAGAAGCTGATTTTTTTAAAATTATGATTAATGAGAACTTAACCATCCTTCACCGCTAAAATGAAAAGAAATAGTAATTTTTCATAGTAAATTTTAGAAGCTTAAGCAGGTCCATAATTATGTTCTCAAGCTATTTAAAATAATTATTCGTAGCAATATTGCTAAGTTGCTTTTGAGTATGATTGCAGTTAAAAGGAACATTCATGCAAATATTAAGCAATAATATATATCATCCCTATTTTGTAAAAACAGTTTAACCTATATTTACAAAGGTCATATAATGCAATAAGTGGCATATAAAACAGTATCAGCATAATATATAAAAATAAACAAATATGTATATTGAACGATATATAAATGATGTAAACAAGTAAGTAACAATTAATAGATTATTATAGAGAGGCTGCAATATATTAGAATTATATATTCCGATTTGATTTTGATTTTCAAAAATATACGTGCTTTAAACAACATTTCTCAAATAGTTCTGTAGTCATTAAAGAGTGCTAGATATATTCGCTTAAGCAAATAACTTAACGTTATTCTTGCGTTTTAACACATTTTCACGCTTTAAAAAAATGTTATGATCATTGAACCATATTTTCAAAAATTGTTAAAAAAATACCCTGGAGGAAATTTCTAGGAAAAAAACCCTGATAAATAACAATTTATTTAATTGTTATTTTAACTTATTCAACCAAAACAGTCAAGTAACTATAAAAAAAGATGGTATTCAAACTATTAACTATGAGAAAAATCGTTTATTGACTGTTTTCACCTAAAACGGTTAAACAACCAGATTTTTATCTGCACGAACTCGAAACACAGCTAATGAGAACAGAGCTCACGTGCTTCGAAAGCTGGAAACTGAGATATGTGATAAGGATTACGAATTAATATAATTTTCCCCCATCTTGAATGACCTTTTAAATCCCAGCACTGACACCCCACTATTTCCTCCATTCCTTCGACGCATAAAAAGCTTCCATTGCGCTACACTCCTCAATTGGCGTCCCTGGCCTATTGGAATGCGCATCCACGCATTCTCATTCACGCATAAATGAGAGCACCATAGAGGTGCTTAACACAAAAGTTTAGTTTTAACAATTTCTCACCCGTAAAATGGCAACAGAGTTTCTGATCATAAAAGTTTTATTTTTTCAAAGAAATGTCAAAACTGATATTTAAAAAACAATTTCGAACATTTATTATTTTTGGATTTTTTTTTCTTCAAAAAGAAAAATTCAATTTCTTCGTAGTATTTGTGTAATATTAAAATAAATAATACAAAGTAAAGATATTTTTTAATGTTTTTTGCACGAATAAAGCGAAAGAGGGGGGAATTAAGCACAAATAAAAGTACTGTAATGGACATACAACAGTTTCGGTTCTATAAACAAGAAACTTTTTCAGCGCTTAAACGCGAAATTACAGTCGAAAAGTAACGAGACTTACCATAGGATGATAAAGAGGCAGTAAAGAAAGTGGGACAGGTTTAAAAGAGATAATAAAAGAAGTGAAAACAAAAACATAGATGAGAAATAAAAAGAGATAAGATAGCATTTTTGTGCTTTTTTTTACGGTCATTTTGTATTTAGACACAGAGGAAGGTTCTTTTTTATGGAACCGAAACTATTGTATCTCCATTTTTGCAACTTGTGTTTTTTTTTCATATTGTTTTACTTTTTATGTAGCACAAAGTATATCATATCTTCATTTGGTTAAATTTTTCTACAAGAGTAGTTATGTAAAATTAAAAAGCCGTTTTTAACACATTTCTTATTAGAAAAATACAAAGGTACTTTAACAATGGAGAAAAGCAATCCTTAATTAAAAAAAAAGCAATAGTTTTTAATCAAAGTAATCCTTACATTATGGAGCACTTTACCACAGAATCACCTCTCCGTTCTCGATGGGCGTGCAAACTCTCAAAGCGTGGAGAGCTGTAGGATGACAACTTTTGCCCATACTCCGCATAGTCCAGACCCCTTACAAGTTCCTTAAACAAATGCACGACGTGCCAATTATTGCGAGCAGAACATTCCACGTAACCGCACTTCCAATGTTTTTTCACCAAACCTGCCACCTCCCGCCGCTCTCTACCCCTCAGGACATCCTGCTTGTTGCCAACAATATAAAGTGGAATATTGTGCATATCTTTCGTATCACATATCTGGTCGCGAATACTTTTAACATACTGAAAAGTCTCAAGGTCATTTAGGTCGAACACTAGTATGTAAGCTGAGGCGCTGCGTAGTCCGTAGTTTCTGTAGTCTGTCCATTCGTTTATGGAGTTTGCTGGGAAGTAAGATATGACTGGGAGATCCACTAGTGACATGGAATATATGTGTTCATTGAAAACTACGGTGGGATTGTACACAGTTTTTGTGTCCGTGGGCGTGTAGTCTTCGCTGAATTCACTGAACACAAATTGGCGGATGAGGGATGTTTTGCCCACTGCTGGTGCCCCAAGGACGATCACTTTAACCACCTGTATCATTTCCTTATCGATTTCTGAAAAATAAAAACTTAGGCTGAGTCACAAATACATAGATTTTTAATAATTATTTTAGATCATAGAGCAAATGTTCTGTGATCTGAAATTAAAATTGGAAATTCTTTTAAAATTTACATGGCTTTTCAGACTCTTATTCCGTGAACATACTCTCTGTAATGTTGAAAGAAACTCGAGTTCTTATAACTAAATTGTTTGAGTTGAAATGTCAAACTTAAAAATTGCTGACAATTTTAATTATCAGAAAATCTATTAGTCACATTTCAGTGACTATCTAACTAGAATATAAATAGCAGCTTTTAGTGTCAAAATCAATTTTTATTGACTGTTATGTCTCGTATTAAATCGTAATCATGACATGTTTCTTGGAAAATTGTTTTTGCATTTGAGGCAGAAATATATTGCTTCCCAAATGAATGAGTCTGCCCTTTAAACCTGTTAAGACGTGATCTGCTACAAGCTTTAAGCTTGTTGCTTTCCGGTAACAACAGAAAAAAAGAAAGTATTCTCCTAATGCCCTTTTTGGTAGCAAATCTTGCAAAAAAAAAAAAAAAAACTCTTTTAATGCCATTTTTGCTGACGAATATTGGTATCTCTGTACCCGTTATCAGAAAGAAATATTTCATTGTGGTCACAGTTCAAGTTCGGATCGTCACGTTTATTCAAGTTGCTAAAGCATGTACCAGCTAACAACGATTAAAATGATAGCGATATATGACAATGATATGAAAGTAGTTCCATCATCCTGCCTTTGACAATCATATGACAATTTTATGATACAACTATATAATTTAAAAGTTTTTCTGCGCCATGAAAAAAAGGAGGAATAAAATGTTCCAGAAACTGTAATCAGTTTTTGGAAGAGTTAAGGCTCACAATAGTTTTAGAGAAAAATATCTAAATTAAGTCTCTCCTTCAATTCGGGAAGAGGTAAAATTTAGGCAGCCATATTGGATTTAAAATTTGGGTTTTAAAATTTTTTCAGCTTTCTCCTCATTATTTCCGTTTTGATCCTTTTTAATTTGTGATAAGGGAACGCTCCAATGTTGTTTAAATAGTTGCTGAAACTTTTATCGATTTTTAAATAACTCATTTTAAACTTATTTAAATATACTTTTATGTTAAGGGGAACGGAAGGTAATGCCGTTTCGGCGAATTAAATATTCGTTAGTCTTAAATACCGATTCATTTTCGATCGGGCATTGAAAGATTGCTGTTAACGAGGGTGAATACATTATTGATTAAAAATAAAATCTTGATAACAAATATCAAATGCACCGAAACGACATTACTTTCCGGTCCCCCTAATAACAAAACCATATCACTCTACCAAAAATTATCCTAATTTACTTTAATACAAACAGGTAAAATTTCATTTAGTTAAAACCAAACGAATGAAAAATAATACTTTTAAAAAAATATCAAAATGCCATAAATTGTCTGATTTAATAACATTTAGTAAAATTAGACGAAGCAGAATTAGTCTATATTCCTAATTCTGCTCCATTTATCATTATTTTAGCAGTGGAATAAATTGTGTGAGGGCGATACTAATAATTTTTTGATAAGCACTTACCTAACATATTGTTTGATGAGATAGATGACGACTAAATTGCACGAACGTTGAATACTTGATCTTGTTTCAACAATGAGCATATCATTAGGAAAGCCCGGATGGATATGTGCCATCATCACAAGTCTTGACACTCGAGCACATCCTCTCTTCTTAGAACATTGTTCGAAAATTTACTTCATTGTTGATATTGAAGAATATTTAATATTTATCCAAAAGCTGAAAGAAACAAAAATCTATAATTTACTGAGCAATATTAAGAATTAACAAAAACAATTATTAAATATTTCTTAGAATATCGAACGCAATTGATTTGCTTGTATATAAGAATCATTTTTAATAAAACTTTCATTTTAAGTTAAGTTTAAAAACCTTAAAAATATTAAGTTGAAATTTTATCTCAAATATTGTGATTTTTAATTAAAGAAAAAAGGAAAATAAAATAAAAGAATAGAGGGTACTTCGTAAAGATCACCCTTAATATGTATTTTGAGAATCCTTCAAAAAATGTAAATTATGCACATAATATTTAATGTACGAAAAAACAAAACCTTATCAGTATTTTACCTATTACAATAGTTAATAAACAGAAAAACAGGTTTAATTGGAAGTTGAAACTAAAAGATTTTTCAAAAAATCTTTCTTGAATCCCTGTATGTTTCCTTTCACAATCAAAATTGTCTCGTTGTTTAATAATTGTTAATTTTATGTACCATGATTTATCAAATTTCGAAAACGTTTTTCGAAAAACTACATACTAAGGGAAATCTTTACGAAACATCCTGTACATTGAGGAAAGCAATAGAGACTTATCTTTTGAGTTGTTAATATTCTAGAATCATTTGTTTATTTTACGCCTTTGTAAAAGAATAACAAATTTATTAAAATTTAAAAATAGTTGAACTTAATTGATTTTTGAAATCATTAATGCAAAAAAAAGCCATTCAGATAGAATCACTAAAAGAAAGGGCAACCATAATTTTCATGAAACAAATGATTGCAGACTAAATAGAATTACAGAAATTAAAAAATCTGGGAACGTTAACTAACCAAAATAATGACAAAGCAGCAGAAATCGATAATCGCATTATGATAGAAAACCGAAGATATTATGGGCTGAAAAAAATATTTACATTTAAACTCCTCAAACGTGCTCAGTAATTATAAAACTCTAATTCGACCACTAGTCCTGTATGGCTGCGATTTTCGGACAATTACTAAGGACAATTAATAAGATTATAAACTTTCATCTTTGAAAGAAATTTTTTGAGGAAAATTTATGTTCCTGTGAAGGAAAATTACATATGGCAAATGCGTTTCGACTACAACAACTTTAAAGAGCCCAACATCGTCTAAATCATTAAACATATTGTATAAGATTGCTTGGACATTTGCAAAAATTAGAAGTCCTCAATCCTGCAAGGAAACTGACTTTTGGCTAAACCTCTGACCCCATGAAAAGGGGCATCTTTCTGAAAAGTGTCGGGTTTTATCTGACTACGCTATTAGAAAGAAGAATTTAAAGAAGAATTATAATATTTTAAACTTGATGCAAAATCTGATTTAATAAACTGAAATAATGAACTTGAATCAAGTGTTGAACTTACTAAATGCAAATTCTTTAAGCAAAATAATTATAAACTGCAGAGAAACTTAATTATTTATTATGAGAAATTAAAAACTTTCCATAAATGTGGAGTGATTTCATTGACAAAGAACTAGTCTGCATTTAACTTTCATTCATCACCAATGGCTTACAATTTCATGATGACATCTCGCAACAAGTTTCATGCGATTGAATGGCACAATCCATAGTGGCGCAGTAAGCGAATCGAAAATGTCGTGTAATACGTGCTCTTCATGGTTTCACATGAAACGAGCTTTTCTGATTCTAGCGGCACAATATCATTCAGACTTGTATTGCTTTTCGTACTGGTAAGTATGACACCGTGAATGATCGAGAACAAAAGAATGTCGATATTCACCGGTGAATGTCAACAATCCCACAGTCGCTTTGGTGAATGTCCAAAATATTTGTCAGACCCGATTTGATATTAATTTATTTGTTGATATTATTACATTTATTCGATATTTTAATATCTGCTGAGGATAGATTAGGAGAAACATCAGTGTTCGGATTGGAGTACCAGTTAAATGCATACTGGGCAGTGGCACTTAACTAGACCTAGTATATATTTCTGACATTTACCAAAGCGACTATGTAATTGTCAACATTCACCGGTAGAAGTCAGCAACCACCCATTTCGGCGAACAGTAGCAAGTATACGTGTTCTATAGAAAGTGTTAACTTGGAACATGTGGGTATTCTCCTTCCGCTAGTTCTGAAGGGGCTAATGATTTTTCCAATCTCGGTCTCTGCAAATGCGATTGAATCTCAGTAATACTACACTTAAATGCTCTTCGTTAAAATCTGGTTGAACCTGTGGTGTAATTATCACTACAAATATTAAAGACATGTTAACGTGATTCTATGAAGAGGTACCTTTTGATAGACGATGGTTGACATAGTTGATTTAAACTTACCTTCATTGGTGACCTGCGAACGTGATAAGAACTTGACAATATTGATTTATGCTCCACATTAAACAGTTGATTAGCTTAAAAAATATACTGCTCAAAGAAAAAAAAATCCGGTGAAGTAAATCAATTCTCCCGATCAATAAAAAAAAAATGAAGAAAAAAAATAATAAAGAGCAAAATACTATAAACAAGGAATGAAAAAGAAAAAATGAGCGAAATGCCATAAATAAAGAAATGAAGACAAAATATAATGAGCAAAAATGTTGTAAATAAATAAACAGAATGAATCAGCTAGTGGTATCCGTTCATCGAATTCTATCACAGATAAAATTCTGGAAGGGGAGTAATGTGGCGTAACTACCACTACAAATATTAAAAACCATTTCACTAGTATATAACACATGTTAACATGATTCCATCTAGAGGTACCTTTTGATAGATGAAGGTTGACATAGTTGATAACTAAATCCCAATCCCCTTCATACCTGAGTTCATCGGCATATTGATACCAAAAATGATCTAAAATACGATGAGAGCGTGTTTGCGACGATCTGAGACTACAATTTAGTTGTTGGGATTTAATTATGTGATGTAAGGTTTGAATTGCGAGATCTGGCCATTATATTTCTCAAACTAAGAATTATATTGCAAGATGTCGTCTTTACATGTCGCAATTAGATCGCGAGATAATGACGTTCCATTTTTTTTTTAAACAAACGGGGGGTGAGCCGGAAAGTGCACCAAAAAATATGTTTAGTGTTAACAGGTTTAAACTATAAAACATTTATAGATGTGTTGTTTTAAACATAGCTGTATACCGTCTACTCAATTTTAAATTTTCGGTATGAAATAACAAAATTCATTGCGAGATATTTTACCATTTTTATTTTAAGTACTTGGAATTTTTTATATTTGGCGGAAATCACAACTGGCGTTTAATTAAATTTTTCATTCCATCTTTTCAAGGTGTTTTTTTTCTTTTGTCTAAGATGATTCATTGAAAGTAAAATAAACTCTGATTATCGAATCATAAGATTATTAAATTATGTTACAATTAAGCTATCACCAAAAATCCTTTGCGAACAAATACTTAAATTAGTTTTTTTTAAAATATTTATTTCGAGTTTATAATCTTACTATTGAACACACATATTCAATTAACAATATCAATTCAACTATTCGTAATCTTTTTACTTTTTCTTATTGAATTGGATGCTACTGTTGAAGGTGGAATAATCGATAAAGTGTCAACACGATGAACAATCGATGAAGCAGCAAATCGATGGAGAGAAGTTCTTCGGCGCCACTTACCGGTCTATGGCTTATTTATTAGTCTCGTTTTGAAGAGAGAAGTCCTTTTGTGTAGAGAAAAGAGAAAATTCATTTTATACCCCGTGGGATGTCTTATGGTCTGGGGCAGAAGACAGATTAATCTCTTGTTTTTTATCTCATTTTTCAGTTCGTAAAAGATAGTTTCCTACCATTACTTAACATTGTAATAAAAAGAGACATGATCTCAAAAATTTTTTTCTTCTTAAATAATTTAGTCTTCAAAGGATAACAAAGCATTTGATTTTAAATTTCAAAGAGATATAACAGTGTTTCAAATGCAACTTAGAAAAAGACACGTTAAAATAGCAACGGTATTACTTAAATTATGTAAGTAGTTAAATTAACTAGTAGAAGACAAAATATTCCTAAGAGAAATGATTTTTTTACATGTCTCTTTGTTTTCAGATAAAACAAAATAATATTTTAAACTTTAAGAAAGATTTTGCTTTCTTCGATTCATTGAAATAATATTGATAATAAATAATAATGACAATAATAAAACGGTTGAAATGCGTTAAATTATTATTACGGGATATTATTTATATCTTTAATATTTAAGCTAATGTGTAAAAATAACATATTTTCAACAGTACTTCTTTTTAAATTATTATCCAATTCCTTATTATATCGAAAAATAACGATTGCATTTAAAATTTTTGAAAGTATATTGCTTTTCACCCATTTCATCCAAAAAGGGAAGTAATACGTTGGAATTGTAAAATCCCCAGCTTATGTACTTATGTAGTTAAAAAAAATTCGTTCATTTTAACAACTGTTAGAATTAATGTTATTAAATTAATAATCGGAAACAAATTCAGAATGATATGCTTTTCTCAGATATCTCTGCTTGAAGAAAAAAACAAGAATTCATTTTAAATTTCAAAAATATGTTTTATTTTTTTCTGATCAGAGTTAAAATCTAAACATGTTAAAACAGTAACAAATTGTACATAAGTTAAAATAAAACAAAGCATTCGATTTTGAAAAGACATTACAGTTTCAGAAAAGGTTAGTATTATGCTAAAACAACTACACGTATGTATGCTGCGAAAATGGTAGCCGCTGCGAAAATGGCGACAAATAATTTACATAAAAGTTGAGTAGTAAAAAACCAGAGATAATTCATTGGTGTTTGATGTACGGAAGCACCATTCCTGTTCTTTTTCAGTATTTATGGTGTAAAGTGATTGCCACACTGTTGCTGTTTCTAATGCCTCTTGACAATACCAGCAAGCCTGCTTGGGGAAACCAAGCGAATTTAAGGCAGACGGTGCGTTTTTTGTTTTTCAATGGCACCATCTATGGCCAAGAATACGACTTCAGCCACACACACGTCACGACCCGTT